ATGTTCTTCTAATCGTTGTTGTTAGACGATTTTTGATCACATCTGATGTTCGATCACCTTTAAATTCCAGACTTATATAAAGGTTTTTCTTCGGAACGGAACAACTAGATTTCTTGTCGTAATTACTTCTATTCAGATTCTTTTCTATGAACCGTTCTGGGTAGCCATTTTCCTTCAAGGTTTTCTTGAGGAATGCGAGTTCTTCGTTAATGCATTCCATACTGCATATCTGGTGTATTCGATAACATAAAGAATGGATAAGATTTCTCTTTCTACTTAACGGGACCCAGCTATAGAAGTTGGTTAGCTGGCCATTCCATGTTTGTTTTCTAAAGACCGATCTCTTTAAAGAACCATTACTCCTTCTCATCAGACGTACATCGAGAAAAGGAATTGATTGGTCTCGTTCCCTTTCTAACGTGAAGTCTATGGATGGGTGGCATGAGTTAAAAGTGTGTAAAATATCATCTAGATCAATATTATTGTCACAAACGACAAACGTGTCGTCCATGTATCTCACGTATAGGTGAAATCGATTGATCGTTGAACGGAGTTGGTCGTTTTCTACTTTCTGATTTACCGAAATCGTTACTGCTCCGTGGTGTGAAGAATTCTCCAGGCAGACGCAATGTCGTGCCGTATACAAGTTCAGCGGCAGAACATTGAATATCTGCCTTCAAACTCGTTCTGATGCCTAAGAGAACGAGCGGTAAGGTTTCGTACCAATTGTCGTTTTCGTGTGCTCGGAGAGCACTTTTAAGTTGGTGATGAAACCTTTCGACTAAACCATTCGATGCTGGATGGTAGGCGGTGGTGCGTATGCGTTCCGTACCAAGCAGCCGGGTCAGTGAGGAGAATAATGCGGACTCAAATTGTTGTCCTCGGTCAGTCGTGACAGTCGAGGGACAACCGTACAATGCTATCCATCGTTCTACGGTGAGCAACTGTCTTCGCCGTGATAGACGTGATGGGAATAGCTTCGGGCCATCTTGTAAAACGGTCAATGCACGTGAGTATGTGATCATACCCATGCGATGGTGGCAATGGTCCTACAATGTCTATATGAACGTGATCAAAGCGAGCATCAGGCGTAGCGAACGTGCCAATGGGGGCAGCTACGTGCCTGTGCACTTTTGATCGTTGACACTGTAAGCATTGCTTTACCCACATACGAACATCTTTATTCATGGACGGCCAGACGTATCGTGCAGCGATGAGACGTAATGTGGCTGCGATACCTGGATGAGACAATCCATGAAGGGCATCGAAGACGAGACGGCGATAGGTAGAGGATACGATGGGTCGGGGAAGACCGGTAGAAATATCACATAGGATAGTACCTGAGCTAGTAGCTAGGGGTACTTCCTGACACTGAAGGAACGAAGATTGTGGTGCTTCTGTACAGACAGGATCGTTTGATTGCGCGGCCGCCATAGCAGAAAGATCGAGCACCGGTAAAGTAACTGCATTCGTCTGGATACGTGAAAGAGCATCGGCAACATAGTTCGACTCGCCTTTAATGTGACGAAGGTCTGTCGTGAACTGGGAGATATAGTCCAAATGTCTGCACTCTCGTGGTGAGTAGCGGTCAGACTTGGTATGCAGGGCATACGTTAAGGGCTTATGGTCGGTGAATAAAATGAATTGGCGTCCTTCTACTGCGTGCCGGAAATGTTTGATGGCGCAGTAGGCTGCGAGCAGCTCGCGACCAAAAGCGCTATATCTCGTCTCCGTGGGAGTAAGGCGTCGTGAGAAAAATTCAAGGGGTTGCCAACTACCGGAGATATTCTGTTGCATAACGGCTCCTATGGCAAAATCCGATGCATCAACCGCTATACTAAGCGTGGCTGATGGGTCAGGATGAGCGAGGAGTGTAACTTCAGCGAGAGCCGTTTTGATCTCTGAGAATGCAGTACGTGCGGTATCGTTCAATTCTAATTTGCGTGGATTACCGCGTAGTAAATAGGTTAATGGTCGTAACCGTTCTGCCGCGTGAGGGATAAAACGTCGGTAGAAGTTAACCAAACCTAGAAAAGCCTTCAGTTCCTTGATTGAGGACGGCAAGTTGTACTCCTTGATTGCTCGAACTTTGTCCTCGCAAGGCAGAATACCCTCTTGTCTGATGATGTGACCCAGAAATATTATTTCTGATTTACCCAATTCACATTTCTCTGGGTTGACTACTATTCCATTATCTGAAAGACGTTGAAATAATAGCGTAAGGTGTTGATAATGTTCATCTACGTTTGATGATGCGATCAATATAGACGTGAACAAAATCCAAGTATGGTACTATTCTATCGATAAACCTTTGGAAAGTTTGAGCAGCATTCCGTAATCCAAACGGCATTTGTAGGAACTCAAACAGACCGAAAGGAGTCGTGATAGCAGTTTTTTCGATGTCTTCAAGAGCGACTGGGATCTGGTGATATGCTCGTACCAGATCGATCTTAGAAAAGATAGTCGTGCCCTTGAGCGATGCTGTGATGTCATGTATGTGGGGGATAGGGTAGCTATCAAAGCGCGTAACTACGTTTAAAGCTCGGTAGTCGCCGCATGGTCTCCAACTAACCCCATCCTTTTTGCGCACCATGTGTAAAGGAGAGGCCCAAGGACTGTGAGAAGGACGAATAATACCAGCAGATAGTAAATTGTCAAACTCACGTTTAGCGAAAGCTAATTTGTCCGGTGCCAGTCGGCGTGGTCTTGCCGTGACTGGTGGTCCGCGGGTGACTATGTGGTGTACCACACGATTGGTCACCGATGAAATCTCCTCGAGTGGTTTAGTTATTCTGGGGAAATTTCTCGAATAAGGCGTGGAATTTATCGTCACGCGAATAAAAAGTGCCGAGGATTCGGTACGCGTACATCGGAGTCTATTATATTAATACTATTCTTATCGTTATCCGTCATGTCAAATATATATATTAAAAATTAATATGAAAATATATGACAGACGTGGATAGATAAAACAATAGACTCACCGAATTGCCTTCTTTGAAAGATTTGACCGAGGTTGAGGCGTGTTCCAATATTTGGCTCACCAAATGTAGCGTGGTGTCGGGTTGAGCTTGACTATGAACACCGCTACAAGACTACGTGCCAATTAACCAATAAGATCCCCGTAGGCCAAAAATCAGAAGACAGATGATGGCTGTAGTCGAGATGTATTTGTTGGCGATCTCGTGGTATCGAAAGAATACCGAGATCGTGCCAAAGGAGTACAAGCGTGGTTACTGAGCGTAACCGAATTCGTACAAGTTCAAAGTCAACGGGAGAGTAGGTAAGTATATTGGCTGTCATTAGCACAGTTAAACAAACGAGCACAGTAAAACAGTCACTGGTACAATTGGTTACAATAATAATTGTTTTCATTGAACCAATCACGTTCTGTTGACAAAAGTGGGTCACTACAAGTTCATTCAAAAACCACAGTGTCCTATCCACTTCCAGTGCTTCTTCCTGATTTCTTCTTCTGCTGGAATCTGGTTTGTTCTCTTCCTTAAAAGGTTGTTGCCAATAGTATCTCGCCAACGGATCCCAAGTATTTTGCATAGACAGCTGTTAATAAACACCTGTATCTTCTGGGTGATGGCTTTTGTAGTTCTCCAAGTTTCCGCCCCATACAGTAGAACTGTCTTCACATTTGTATTGAAAATCTTGACCTTGGCGTTGGTAACCAATTGTTTTGAATTCCAAATGTTCTTCAGTTGTAAATATGATCCACAAAATTCAGTGCTCATAAATAGATGGCAATCAGAGTTATTTTTTAGAGCTAAAATAAACCAAAAAATTAAATAGCTTGTTTATTTCCTTAAAAAGAACAAAATCTAATGAGATGTAGTGAACGAGAACACTAATAGGGAAAATCGAATGTACTTGAATATAAAATTACAGAACATCATAGTAAATACTTCATTTGCAAAATGTTAATCATTCGTCTCAGAATTTATTAAACTTTTGTTTTCACACCAATTATTCACTCTTTTTCATTCTCTTTTCTTCGATCTTCCTCCACCTTCTACCTCTAGACATTTCAATTTCTATTGATGATACATACTACTTATATCTATCGACATCAATAACACACATTACAATATTACCGATGTAGATAATTCAGTCTAATTAAACTGGTGAATTATATTAGAAAATATACTGAACTTCTCCAGTTAGACAATCATAACATAAGCCTATAGGTTAAGTGTTTATTATTAATATTATTATTTACTGGTTAACACAATCTATTCAACCAATCCGTGTTATAGGTGTAAAAATTAAAAAAAAGTTTTTTTTATTATTAAATAAATTACCTTTATTGATTAATGAACACATCGTTTCTAACACTCATTTACAAAAAATAAACAAACAAACAAACAAAAACACACAAACAAACAGACAAACAAAATACACAAAAAAGAAACAAACAACTGATTATTTTAATAGTTTTCTATTCGTTTTCTAAAATGGTATTATCTCTTTCATTTATTGTACTTGGATAAATAATATAAAATGAATGGAAAGAAAATATTTTAAATATTCAATCATGATCAATTTTATTATTATTATTATTATTTTTCTGTAGTCATAAACATTATTGATTTATTGAAAATATTGGGATTTTGTTTACGAAGAAAATCGATTGATTCAAATTTGTTGTTGTCGTTGTCGTTGTTCCTGTAGTTGTCGTCGCTGCTTCCGCTGTTGTTGCCGTCATTGTTGTCGTTGTTGTTATCATTGTCGTTGTTGTTATCGTTGTCGTTGTTCTTATCGTCTTCGTCGTTGTTGTTGTCGTTGTCGTCACTGTTATCATTGTTGCTTTCGTTTTCGTTGTTGTCGCTGTCGTTGTTGTTATCATCGTCGTTTGTTCTTGTCGTTTTTATTGCTGTCATTGTTATTGTCGTCTTTGTTGCTGTTGTTGCTATTGCTATTGTCGTTGGTGTTGTTATTGTCGTCGTTGTTGTTGTCGTTGTTATTGTTGTTGTTGTCACTTTAGCAACAAAATGAATAGATCCGGTATCACATATAATGATAATAATAATAATAATCTTATATCAAATAATCCAAATTATCAAAAAATTTATCATAATCCTATTGAAAAATTATATAATTCTAAAAAAAATTTATCCAATTCATTACGTAATTCACCAACATTTTCAATACAATCAGAACCATATTTAAATCAATCAATTAAAAAAAATAATTCAAATTTAATATCAAAATCAATAATCAATAATCAATCAAATATTGATTCATCATTATCAATAATAAATATTAAAAAAATATTAGAAAGATTAAAAAATGAAGTTGATATAGAACGTAATAAACGTACATTAATTATAAAACAACATAATCATAATATAAATAAATTAACAAAACAATCACAAATTGATCATTCTATATTATTATATGCATTAAAACATGCAGAAAATAAAGCAAAATTATATCGTGATGAATATTATAAACTTAAAACTAAAGGTAATATTGATTATTATTATTATTATTATTATTATTATTATTATTATTATTATTATTATTATTGATAAAGTACTCTACCGGTAGTGTATAGATGTGATCATTTCTAAGAGTAAGATACCATCTATGGAATAACATTGATATAACATGATCCATAAGCTGCCTATCAGCATTCTCCAACCCATTCTGTTCTGGGCTTTCGTTTTCAGTTCTATTCATATTACAAGAAATATAATAGTCCTAGATTATACTTCATATACTTCAAAGAATGTATTGATCCTTTAGGGATTTCAATGAAACAGTGCTATCTTTCATCTGTTAACAATATGATCAAGTTTCAAATGAGAAAGGAACATGAAACTTTAAAAAAAATTGATCTGGAATACGATACTTTTAACAGAGAATAGAAAAGGTTTCAAACACATAGATTATCTATTGCAAAAGTAGTAAACTTACCGGTTGATTTATTAGATTCTTCAATAACTTGAAATAGTTCAACTAAATTTGGATCATCACCTTCTGTGAAGAAAATAGATGGGAAAAACAAGTAAATACTTCTTCTTTATATAGATACTTTTCAATGATTACAAGCAATCATCATTTCAGTTTGATAAACTACTCTATCGGTAGTCTACAGATGTGATCGTTTCTATGATCTACACTATAACATCGATATAACATGATCCATAGTTTTCATCTTTAATCAATTTCGGCTTCAATTTGTGCTTCTATGATACGAAATATATATGTAAAATATTTGGTATGATCTTTGGTGATAGTTTATATACCATTAACTGAAGTTGTTCAGACGATTGAAGTTTGTTTTAAGATTATACTGAAATATACACAAAACAAACTGGATGAACCACTCTTTATTATGAATGGATTTCGGTTAACAGTAGAGTATAAGAAGTACATTTCTTCTGATTGAAAATGTATCACCTATATGTATTTTACACATCAGTATTAATAACCTTATTAAGACTCAAACACTGTCTGGCAACTAAGAAATGTGATCATTAAATCTTTTCTCAATCATGAACTATCTTACAGTAAGAAAATTATACTTAACTATTCTAAATTCAGACAGGTTTTGTAGATATTATAGTAATTTCAATAGTTAAGATCATGATTCAGTTGAAGCTAGACCACCATGGAAAACCTGGAATCACTGGACGGCCGTTTCGTCTTATTGTGGGACTCCTAGATTCGTTTACAAAATGATAATTGATCACTTCATAAGTTTTAGATATTATACACATTTTTTTTTAACCACCTAGTATTTGATTGAGATCATGAATCGATATTTTCGAAAAATTTGTGTGCTCATCAATCAGCGAAGCCTAATTAAATAAATTGTATTCTGTCTTTGATACTTTCAGTTACCATTAGTCAAAAAGTCTCATTTTGACTGGTACTAGGAAAGACTGTGGAAGATTTTAATAAATTTACAGTACTTAGTAAAATCTAACAACCATGTAGCAAATGATCAATTTGCAAAATGTCCATCAATTGTCTCAAATGACTCAGAATCCCTTTGTTCTTGCATTTCCATACAAATTTCATTCTTTCTTTATTCTTTATTGTTCGATCTTCTCGTCTCTCTGCTGCCAGACACTCTGTTCAGTACTCACGTCTTATACTACTTATGTCTACATAAGTAGCACACACCACACTCGTCCCCCCTTCAAAAGCAGTCGTTCTTGTGGTGGTTCATGCTCGTCATGCAACATTCTTCTTTTCCGCAGTCTGTGCTACTCGCTCCGTCAAAATGTCGAGTCTGTGGCGCGCTGATCTCCATAGCTGCATCGACCTGCCGGGGCACCAACATCCGACCTCCACCCGGCAACTGGGACGTTTACACCCGTGCTCCACCGGCCTGTTGAGCCATCTACATTCGATGTCCGCCAAGCAGCCGCACATCCCACCGCTCCTCTCCATCGACAGCACCTGCTACAGCCAACACCGCCCCGCCAGAACACTCCACCAGACGCCACCTCTTCGCACCAGACTGTCCCGACCTGCATCTCAGCTCCAGGCCCGCAACAGCGTCCGCAGAACAGCACCCTGTTTTATTTGTAAATATTCAAAATAATATGAATGAGAATGTTTTCAACATTGACTAGCTACAATTTATCTCTAACCACAGTGTGGATAAGAGTACTTTATAAAAACTTCTTCGACACTGTGTTGTACCTGAGAAAATCGTCAACATCACATGGAATTCATACGATGGACTACACTGTAAAGTTGTACACGGAAAACTACTAACAGATGCGAGACCAACGATCTTGAGTTCGATCTCGGTTAGCGGGGTCGCCGATGCCCACTGGTAAAGAGTCTAGTACTGGGACTAGACGTCCTATGACTGATCATTTCACACTGATATCATACTAATATGTGATTAGTTAGGTAATAAGGGATTATCATCATCAACTTTCCAGAATCCTAGGGTCTATTTGTACTAAACATCTACAATCCAATTAATTTATAATTTGTGCTCTTCCTATATTAATAAACATCGACAACGATAAGTGATCATAGAAAAGTTTAATGTCCATTATCATGTAACGTAATAGAATAAGGTCTCATTGTATTAACTTTACATCTGTTGGCATATCATATATTCAATAGTTGAATCAAAGGAATTGGATCGAAACCTTTCAAAAGTTCATCACAGATTCCTCAATAAGAAAAGTAGTGAAATTTTAGAACTGAGTAATACAAGTTATTCTCGAATTCGTGTTAGTATACGTAGGATCATTAGTATTTTCTGATTTTTATTTTGGTATGGAAAATAAAACAAATTTCCTACTTTTTAATGCCTGATCATAATATATATATACGGCCGAGAGTGAGAAGAGTTAGCCCTCCCTCTTGACATGCTATAACATGGCCACGTGTATACAACCACTGACAGAGAAGTCCTAGTCACTACATTCTCGTGGCAGGGGTGTTGTTTACGAAATTCAGAAAACAAAAATCGAATATTCGTCGTTTTAACCGGGTTGGTGTGCCTAGATGATCCACCAAGGTGAGTTGGAAAACCCTCATTCCAAACCAATGGTCCACATGAACTCCAGTATCCTAAAAGAACAAGTGGCGTATGAACCAATCGTTAGTCACCGGCTACCATGGGATTGCATCTCCTGACGTTGCTCCACTGCCTTGTTGATCAGACCTTTAGGTTGAATGCTCGGGGTCTGGCCTTATAAGTTAACCACCTATATATATATATATATATATATATATATATATATATATATATATATATATATATATATATATATATATATATATATATATAGGGAGAGAGGGAGAGAGAGAGACTACATCACACTTAATGGATCTTCATTGTTAGAATAAGTTTTTATTGAAAGTATGCAACGTACACACACCACATACAAATGGATATTTGTCACCTTCAAAAGAGATTAACCGACCAAATCTATGTATAACAACTGGCTGTATACACTAAATAACTGTTATATAATAAATAAGAAAGATGGCTATGAATCGTAGTTATCATAAAATAGTATTCGTCAAGAAATGCTACATATTTAGTAAAGATGACTAATACGCTTTCTTATTTTGGTTGATAATTGGTTGAAAGTTTCTAGATTTTCATTATAGAACCCTAGAAATATTCATTTCTTCTTCTTCATTTGGTATTGCTTTGCTTGAATCTTCCTATTGATGTTTAGGATTGCCATTGATCAGTCTCTTATTAGTATATGCGCATACTGTGCGTATTGCCTCGATATAGCCTTAAGTTACAAGCTTCATAAACAAAGATGGATAGCGACTGTTAGTGGAATTCAGGACCTGCGTTACGTCTCATATGGGATTCGTCAGTTGGCTGTACCTGCATCTACAGACTTGATGTTCACTATGTTACTGGAGCCCAGTACTATTCGCTTCAAACGTCACCACGTTATCTACTTAGCTACTGAGTCCTGATACCTGAAACACGCGTCCTGGATTCCACTGGTAGCCACTATCCATCAATTCTTGTTTGTTATAATTTTAGAGAAGAGAAAATGAGTTGATTTTTAAAACAAAAGTATATATTTGCGTACAAACCATTTCAGAGAGATTAAGTCTGTTTAAAATTCATGCAGACTATATATGAATAATATCGGAAGGGGTTTTTGTGGATATTATAATAATTTTAATGGTTGAGACGATGAGTCAATTGATGTTAAACCACCATGAAAAACCTGGAAGCACTGGACAGCCGCTTCGTTCTATTATGGGACTCTACAGCAGTGCGCATCCACAACTTCGCCGTCCAGTGCTTCTTGGTTTTCCATGGTGGTCTAGCTTCAATTGACTCATGATCTCAACTAATGAAATTACTACAATCTCTACAAAACCGCTTCTCATACTAATCTACTTATTAAACAAATAACGGTGAGACTATAATTTATGGATGACAATTTAGCGACGCCTTAGTGACCTTAATAATGTCCACCTACTTACTAAGGCTAAATGAGAGTTACAAAGCAGTTTGAAGTATAGAGATTATAGTTTACATTCGATGGTTACAATTAGGAACTGGATTTATGGTTTTCATCACGAATTGACATCAATTAAATTGCCAAAAACGCTATTTTTTTAAATCCTTAATCTAATTGGTTCGTCCGTTAACCATAGTCTCGCTCAAATAACTTAAGATAATTATTATAATCAAAAAGGGGTTTTGTGAATATTACACTAATTTAATAGCTGAATTCATGAGTCAATTAAAGCTAGATCATCATGGAAAACCTAGAAGCGCTGGACGATCATTTCGTTCTAGTATAAAACTTTTCAGCAATGTGCATCCACCATCACGCCCCGCAGGATTTGAACCCAGGATCTAACAGTTTCGAACATTGTTGTAATAACTGTCGTTAAGGATTCATGTCTACTGTTAACTAAAATAAAGAATCAAATTTAAAAGAAGCTTTTTTAATTTTGTTCAATTTTTCAGTTCAAACAAAGTATAGTAATTCAGAACAAGAGAATTCCAAGACAAATAATACCATACAGAATAAAACATCTTTGAAAAATCAATCTGATTGGGTAATTAATAAAAATGTAAGTTTTATTTAAATGAATAAAATTTTCAATAGTTGACATCATGATTCAATTGAAATTAGACAATCATGGAAAATTTGGAAGCACTAGACGACGGTTTCATCTTATTGTGGGACTCCTCAACAGTGTGCATCCACAATCTCGCCTTGCAGGATTCAAACCCAGGACTTATTAGTCTTGCGCGCGAGAGCTTAACTACCAAATCACTGAGCTAGAATCCAACGGTGTTAATATCTAATTTCAACTAATCCACGAATAAAACTTTAAATATTAAGTTTTAGTTATAATCAGTAACCGCCTTCTTATTGTAATGTATGACACTGTAATCACAGTAAAATACCTTAGTAATTCTGTTAACCAGTGAATTGTTTGTGTTATAAACTGATTATAAATAGAGGATCAATAAAATCAATGCTGTACTTGATAGTTATTTCATCTTCGTTCGATACATTACAGCAATGTCTATTCACGACTAGACATGAAATAGAAACTACTATCTTTGAATCTTATTTATATTCCAAACTAATCATTCAAGTTTTTGATTGAGATCATGAACCGATTGATGTTAAACTAACATTGAAAACCTGAAAGCACTAGACGGTTATTTCGTTCTATTGTGGGACATCTTAGCAGTGCGAATCCACGATCCTGTCTTACGAGATTTGAACCTAGGATCTATTAGTCTCACGTGTGATCGCTTAAATTCTAGACCATTGAGTCGGCCGGCATCCAATGATGTTAACATCTAACTTCAACTAATCCATGAAATTACGTTATCCTCTTCCATTTTACTGAGGTAGAAGATACCTGTCTCTAATCAACACGGATTAACTCCACTGATCACGGCTTTTCATTAGAACTTCGAGAATTCTTCCACGAATCTATTCACTAGTAAGCACATTTAATCCCATTTATGGGTGACTGTATCACTACTGACATAATAGTTTTTTTTTTTTTATTTTTTAACTCGAACAATGAAATTTTAAGAACGTTATTAACCCCTTTAGTCTATGCCTGTTTCTTCTATTAGTTATTCATTCAATAAATTCTACTGTTGATATTGTCTCAGAGACAAACAAACTCTCTTCACAGATAGATTCATTTAGTTTGTTTTGATTACAATAGATTCCATGTTATCTTCATTACAATTGACAACAATGTTATAAAAGTATTTTACTTGAGTAATATTATGAATCTACTATTTAATGATTGACCAATATATTTAACATCCAGTCTATTATCATCTAACTCTCATATCATAACTCTTTGATAAGCACTTTCTTAGGAATAGTGAAATGTGATTACCGTTTATTATAACTAATCATATGGAAGAATGCTACTGATGTCGATAGATATAAGTAGTATGTATCATTAATCGAAAAAGAAATGTCTGGTGGTAGATGGTTAAGAAGATCAAAGATAAGAAAATGCGAACAAAGGATGATTAGTGTGGAAATGAAGAAACAATAATGCCTGAAACAATTGATTGATATTTTAGAAGTGAAGTATTCACTATATGATTCTCAGATTTTACCAGGATATTCTGTAATTTTGTATTCAAATACATTCGGTTGCCCTCACTTGTTTTCTCGTTCACTACAATAAGATTTAATGCTGAATATAAACATGACTTTTTAAGTAAAAATGTATAGTGACTAGCAGTGGAATCCAGGACGCGCGTTTTGTCCTATCTGGGACTCGTCAGCTGGATGTATCTGCATTCGAGTTGATGTACACTCCGGGACTCGAACCCGGCACCGTTCACTCAAACGCCATCGCTTTATCCAGTTACCCAATAGGTCATGTTAGCTACCTGATTGTGCAATGAGTTGAAGTTTAAACTTACTTGGTTGGTATAAACTTGACTGATATAAAATGTTATAACTACATAATCACAGTAATATTGCTCGTAAGTTTGATTCCAGTCAATACTGAAATATTAGCTTAATGAATTTATGACATATTATTCCACTGGATAAACAAT